TTTTTAAAAGACAGAGTCTTGCTCTGTCACCCAGGCTGGAGTGCAGTGGCATGATCTCGGCTCACTGCAACTCCGCGTCCCAGGTTCCAGTGATTCTCCTGCCTCAGCCTTCTGAGTACCTGGGACTACAGGCATGTGCCACTACGCCCAGCTAAGTTTTTGTATTTTTAGTAGAGACCAGGTTTCACTGTTTTAGCCAGAATGATCTCGACCTACTGACCTCATGATCCACCCACCTTGGTCTCCCAAAGTGCTGAGATTACAGGCATGAGCCACCGTGCCTGGCCCAAATTTTTGTATTTTTAGTAGAGATGAGTTTTCACCATGTTGGCTAGGCTGGTCTCAAACTCCTGACCTCAAATGATTCTCCTGTCTCGGCCCCCCAGAGTGCTGGGGTTAAGGAGTGAGCCACTGCATCTGGCCATAAATTTTCCTACTGATTTAATGTGCACGAAAGCCTGTAAGTGTAAATGCCTGCAGGGGTAGGGAAGTTCTTTATGACTCCTTACATTTTTGTTGATTCCATTTGCTGATCCTCTTGCTCTTCCATTTTTCTTTCTTTGAAGTATAGTTTCAAAGAGACGTTTGTTTATCTCACATATCCTGTTGGACAGTGTTACACATCCGTAACAGCAGTCTTTTTTTTACTGGTTTTACCTCCTTTGGACAAATCCTTTTATTTCTCTGAGGTTTTGCAGTTTACACTTTAATTCTAATGTCATGTCAGAACATTGGATGGAATGATCCATTTTGGGGTAGATCTGCTGCTTTACTTCTTAAAGTGATTATATCATCTTTGCCTTCTGAAAACTACCATTGCTTTCTCCTGGCATCCGTTTGGAAGACAGAAAATATGTTCAGAGTCATGTCTGTTTGCAATTATATGTCATACATTCTTGCGGAACCAAAGTATTTCTGTCTCATGAATCAGTTTATACTATTTTCTTTGAAGTTGTTGCATAATGGCTGGCATTCTTCACTTTTTCCCCCTCAGATTTTTAAATGTTCTTCAAAATTGTGCTACAGTGATACAGTTAAAGGCAGGACTGTGACCTTAGGTGCTCATTCACTTTTTTTTTCTTAAACTGTTTATTTTGAGACATTTGTAGATTCACATGCACAACAGTCCTATCCTCTTTACCCAACTCCCTTCAATAGTAGCATCTTTGAAAACTATAATTTTACATTATCGTACACAGAACAGTCAAGATACAGAATATTTTGTGAAATAAGCCAGACACAAATAAAACGATCTCACTTAAGCGTGAAGTCTTAAAAAGTCGAACTCATAGAAGTAGAGAGTAGAATGGTTGTTCTCAGAGGCTGGGGACAGGGGACAGAGTAGAAAGGAGAGATATTAATCAGAGGGTACGCAGTTTCATTTACACAGGAGGAATAGGTCTGGTGATCTGTTGCATAGCATAGTAGCTATAGTTAATAATAATGTATAATTTTAAACAGCTAAAAGAATGGATATTAAATGTTTTCACCACAAAGAAATAACTATTGGATACTCAGAAGGCTGAGGCAGGAGAATTTTGCTTGAACCTGGGAGGTAGAGGTTGCGGTGAGCGAAGATTGTGCCATTGCACTCCAGCCTGGGCAACAAGAGTGAGACTCCATCTCAAAAAAGAGAAAAGAAATAAGTATTCAAGGTGACGGATTTGTTGATTAGCCTGATTTGATCATTCCACTATGTATAACTGTGTGGAAACATCACATTGTTCCCCATAAACGTACTATTGTATGTCCATTTAAAAAAGGATATAGACTGGTTCCATCACCGGAATATCCTTTTGTTGCACTTTTATAGCCATACCTACTTTGTTCCTTCCCCAGCCCACTCCTTCTATAGTTTTGCTATTTTAAGGATGTCACTGAATGGAATCATACTGTTTGCAGTCTTTTGAAATTGGCTTTTCCACTCAGGTTAATTATTTGGATATTTATCCTATATAGATGAGAGTAGTATTCTATGATATAAATGTCTCCTGGTTTGTTTAACCATTTACCTGCTGGAGGGCGTCTGGGTGGCATCTAATTTGGGGCTGTTACAAATAAAGCTGCTGTGAACATTCAATGTACAAGTTACTGTGTGAAAATATGTCTTCATTTCTCCAGGATAAATATCCAGGAATGCAATTGCTGGGTCATTTGGGGGTTATGTTTTTAATTTTTTAAGTAATTGCTAAATGGTTTTCTATAGTGTCAGTACTGTTTAACATTCTAACCAGCACTTTCTCTGCATCCTCACCAGCATTTGGTGTTGTCACTATTTTTATGTTAGCCATTCTGGTAGATGTGTAGTCATCTCATGGTTTTGATTTATAGTTCTCCGATGGCTAAAGATATCCAACATCTTTGCAGGTGCTTATTTGTCATCTCTAATATTTTTCTCCTGTGACATTTCTTGTCTTGTATTGTTTGCTTTTTTACTGGGAGTCCTTTTATATTCTAGATATGAGTCCTTGGTGGGATATGTGGTTTGCACATATTTCTCTCAGTATGTAGCTTTTAACAAGGTCATTGCATAGCAAAAGTTTTCAATTTTAATGAAGCCCAATTTATCAGTTTTTTCTTCAATGGATCCTGATTTTTGTTTCAAGTCTAAGAACTCTGAATAGCTCTAAATCCCCAAAATTTTTCTCTTAGGTTTTGTTTTAAAAGTTTTATGGTCTTATGTTTTACATTTAAGTCTATGATCCATTTGGATTTAAGATTGAGTTAAGTTTAGCTCAAGGTTCTTTTTGTGCGTGTGTGGCCTGGATGTCCAGTTGCTCCAGCAGCATTATTGAAATATGATCTTACCTCCATTGAATTGCTTTTGCATCTTTGGCAAAAATCAGTTGAGCATATCTATGTGACTCTGTTTCTGGATTTTTCATTGTTTCATTAATCTGTGTGTCCATCCTTCTGCCAACATCTGCAGCTACCAGTTCTGAGACACTAAGAAGGAATTGGCTGTTTGCCTAAGACTCAGAAAGGGGCAGCTCTGCTTGGCCACAGGGAACACACTCAAGGCAGCTGGGGTCTAGTGACCAGGCACTTTTCTTAGGATGTGGTCCACAGAGAGGAGGAAAGAAATGTTATTCAGTCTCAGAGACCAAGACAGACGCATGGGAGGAGATGGTGAGGACCTGAATAACTGGAGGCATGATGAGTGGAGAGCCTGAGACAGGATCCATGCTTTGGGAGTAGGCCCCTGTGGACGGGGAGACCTTGGGCGGTTGGGGCTGATTGGACTGGGCCCCCTGCTCCTCACAATGAGGCCTAAAGCTACGGCCTCGTATCCAGTGCTGTCCAGTGTCACCCAGGAAGGCATGCCCTCCTTCGGCAGAAACAACGTTAAAAAAAACTGCTATTGCTTTTTAGACAAAAACAATATGGAGACTTTTATTTCATTGAGTTTGCTTTTTAGTATTTCCTTTCTTCTTGCTTTTGTTCTTTTTTTTTTTTCCAGATTCTCGAGGTGATTATTGGATTGAGACTTTTGTCTTTATTAATGTTTACATTTAGTGGGGAAGTTTTCTTCCCAGCCCTACTTTATAAGCTATGTCCAGCAACAAATTTTGATATTTTTGTTTGTATTTTTTCACTAGCTCAGTACATTGTATTTATTTATTTATTATTTTGGGATGAAATCTGGCTGTGTTACCCAGGTTGGCTTCCAACTCGTGGGGACCAAGCAACCCTCCCACCTCAGCCGCTCAGGTAGGTGGAACTACAAGCATTTTACTCCTAGCTCAGTTATTGATTTTTAATATGATTTAATTGTGGTCAGAACATGAATATTCTGTATGATTTCAATTCTTTTTAATTTGTCGAAGTTTGTTTGATGGCCTAGGATAGGTTGACCATCCTGGCGTATGTTTCTTGAGCAGTGGAAAAGAATGTGTTTTCTGTTTTTGGGTAGAAGGTTCTATATATCTGTTAGATCCTATATATTAACCTAATGTCTATTAGGTCGATGGTAGTGAAGTTTTTGTTATGTGCTGTCACTTATTGAGAGAGAAGTGTTAAAGCCTCCAGCTATAATTTTAGACTCTATTTTCCTCTTAGTTTTGTCAGTTTTTGCTTTTAAAATATTTTGCACTTCTCTTGTTTGGAAGCACACTTGGAATTGCTGTCTTCTTGAGATATTGACCTTTTATTATTACATAATGTTACTTTCTATCTCTGGCAATTTTATTTTCTCTGAAGTCCACTTTATCTGATATTAATATAACCACTCCTGCTTTCCTTTGATCAACTTTTGCATTATATCTCTTACCATTCCTTTCCTGCCTCTATTATTATTATATTTGAAGTGAGTTTCTGTGGACAGTATATAGTTGGGTCATATTTTTAAATCCATTCCACCAGTCTTTTAATTGGTATATTTAGACCATTTACATTTAAAGTTAATTACTAAGTTAGGGTTTAAGTCTGCCGTTTTATTTTTTTGTTTTCTGTTTCTTCATCTTTTTTTCCCCCCTTTGCTTCTGACTGCCTGTGGGTTACTTAAACATATTTTAGATTCCATTTTGATTCTTCTGTAGGGTTTTTAGTATGCCTCTTTGTATAGATGTTTCATGGTTCCTCTGGGTACTGTATATGTATAACTTATCACAGTCAGTCTAGTGGGGCTATTTTACCAGTTCAAGGGAAATATCAAACCTTAACACTCTTTACATCCGTTTATTCACTGCCATTGATAACAGTTCAAAATACTTTCTCTATATAAACTTAGAATTACATTAGTTTTATTATTATTATTATTATTATTATTATTATTATTATTATTATTTGAGACACAGTCTCTTGTTGCCCAGGCTAGAGTGCAGTGGCACGATCTCGGCTCACTGCAGCCTCTGCCTCCTGGGTTCAAGCGATTCTTCTGCCTCAGCCTCCTGCTGGGATTATAGGCATGTGTCACCATGCTCAGCTAATTTTTGTATTTTTGGTAGAGACAGCGTTTCACCATGTTGGTCAGGCTGATCTTGAATTCCTGACCTTGTGATCCACCCACCTCAGCCTCCCAAAGTGCTGGGATTACAGGTGTGAGCCGCTGTGCCTGGTTGAAATTTTTTTTAACTGTCAAACATGATTTAGAAAACTTAAGGAAATCCCATATTTGCCCATCTTTTTTTGTTTGCTATATTGTTTTCTTCTTTCCTAATGTTCCAAAGTCCTCCTTTTATCATTTCCCTTGTATTTAGATAACTTTTTTTAATGGTTCCCTTTGGGTAGATCTGCTGGCAACAGATTCTCTTGTTTTTTTGTCATCTGAGATTATCTTTATTTCTTCTTCATTCCTGAAGGATATTTTCACTGGATATAAGATTCTGGGTTTGACAGTTCTTTCAACACTTGAAAAATATTTTGCCACTTCCTTCTGGCCTCTGTGGTTTATGATGAGAAATCTGTTGTCATTCCATTTTTTTTTTCCTCCTGCAGGTAGGGTGTCATTTTTCTCTGGCTGCTTCCAATATGTTTTTTCTTTGTCTTTATTTTCAGAAGTTTAATTATGATGTGTCTTGCTGTGGATTCCTTTGGGTTTTTCCTGTTGAGGGGTTCATTCTGCTTCTTGAATCTGTAGGTTTATATTTATTGCCATATTGTGAGAATCTTCAGCCATTATTTCTTTGAGTACTTTTTCAGCCCTGTCTTTTGTGTCCTCAGCTTCCAAGGCTCTGATGACATGAATGTTACATCTTTTGTTATAGCCCCACAAGTCCCAGAGACTGTTCTTTTTCTTGTTGTTGGTCTCCCTCCATCCATCTTTCCTTCCTTCCTTCCTTCCTTCCTTCCTTCCTTCCATCCATCCATCCATCCATCCATCGGTCCTTGAGACCAACGGTCTCAGGCTGGAGTACAGTGGCACAATCTTGGCTCACTGCAGCTTAACCTCCTAGACTCAAGCAATACTCCCACCTCAGCCTCCCGAGCAGCTGGAACCACAGGCACATACCACTCTGCCTGGCTAATTTTTTTTGTTTGTTTGTAGATACAAGGTTTTACCATGTTAACAAGGCTGGTCTCAAACTCCTGGCTTCAAGTGATTCTCCTGCTTCAGCCTCCCAGAGTGCTGGGATTACAGGCATGAGCCAACCTGCCTAGCATTCATTTATTCTATTTTTCAGTTCTAATATTTCCATTTGGTTTTAAATGTTTTATGTTTTATTTGCCTGAACTTTCTTTTTCTTTGCTCAGTCCTCGTTTTTTTTTTTTTTTTCTCAAGCATGTTTATAATTTCTCTTTGAAGCATTTTTGTCATGGTACCTTTGTCCTGGTTGGATAATTCTGTTTCTGTCATCTCAGGGTTGGAAGCTATTGTTTATTTTTTTGCGTTTGGTATCTTCCTGGTTCTTGGTGTAGTGAGCTATTTTCATTTGAAACTGGACTTATATTATGAGACTCTAGATCTCATTTAAACTCTTTAGTTTGGTTTTCTTTCCCTAGCACTGCTGTGGCAAGGGAACCAGGGCACTGTCTCCTTACTGCCAGTGGAGGTAGAAGTTCAGGTTTTGCTTAGCTTTCATTGACACCTGGTAGTAGGGACTCCTTGTTACTGCTGATGGAGGTGGTAGTTTTGACTCTTCATGTGGTCTCCACAGACACCACATTGGTGTGTCCTCATTACTGCAGGGAGATGGTGAAAGTCTTGACTCTACTTGACCTCCTCTGACACCACCTCAGAGGGAGGTGGGGGAGCTCCATATCGCCTCCTTTCTTTCTCTTGCAGCAGAAGTCTAGGCTCTCCGCTTGTGCATCATTGCTGGCATAAGTAGAGATGGGACCGCATTTTTTTCTTTAGTGTTAAGCTCGAGTAGAGTAATTCTTACCTAAAACTTTAATCTTTTTAGGTAGCCCTTCCCTGGTCCTTTGGCTTTTGTTAGGATTATTTTGGGTCTGCACCCATTGGTATTTCCATGTTACTGGCTTCTTAGCTGCATGCTTGGGATATCTGAGGCAAAAAGTAAACCCAGGGAGCTCATCCCCATGCCGTTTGTCAGGTTCTGCAATCTCTGGCTATTCTGCCATCTCTCCACATTTCAGAGTTGTCTGTTTGTTTTACGTATAATATAGAGTGCTGTTAGTTGTACCTAGTGGGAAGAATAGGGAAAAGTGTTTTTACTCCATCTACCCTAAAGTAACCTCTCATTTACTTTGTTCCTTTCTCAGGACTTAGTGTAATGTTTTAATTCCAGCATTTTATTGTTGTTAATTTTATTCACGTATATTATTTTCCTCGGCAGGTAGTGAAGAATAGATTAATTTTCAGTGTAAAAGAATTCCCAAAAAGCAAGCAGATGTAGGTGACATCCACCATTGGGTTTCAGATATAAATAGGTCTTTGTATTTGGGGATGCTTTTTAGTTTACAAAGCAAAATCTTATAAGAGGGGGATCACATAGGTAGAAGTGGTCACTTAATATTTTTTGCACTGGCAAGTAGTAAAAAGACAGCGTCACTGTAGGTCTGGTTAGAATGGGCTGTTTACCTGATAGTGAGAGGTTTTCAGTTGACTTCATTTTCTCAAGATAAGTTTCACAAAGGGTCCTGATAGCTTTCAAGTTATAACTGGCTATCTCACAGGATTATGACTCAGTAAAAACTTGAAAAGGCTTTGGTGGGTATAAAGAACCACTCGTGTGAGAGAATGCTACTCTTGTAATTGTCTTCCTGCAAAGATCTACTTTGCACTTAGAGCAGCACATTTTTACTTTCTGTAATTCTTAGAATCCTAGAATCTTAAAACTGAAAGCGATCTTAAAGGTAAATGAGTGCCGGGCGTGGTGGCTCACACCTGTAATCCCAGCACTTTGGGAGACCAAGGCAGGCGAATCATGAGGTCAGGAGATTGAGACCATCCTGGCTAACATGGTGAAACCCCGTCTCCACGAAAAATACAAAAAATTAACTGGTCGTGGTGGCGTGTGCCTGTAGTCCCAGCTACTCAGGAGGCTGAAGCAGGAGAATCAGTTGAACCCAGGAGACGGAGGTTACAGTGAGCCAAGATCGTGCCACTGCACTCAGGCCTGGGCGACAGAGCCAAGACTCTGTCTCAAAAAAAAGGTAAATGAACTTTGCCATTTTTCCCATCCATGCAACTCAGCTTCTTTGAAGGATACTCCACTAGCTTACAGCACAGGGTGTCTCAAATCGTTAACAATGTTTGCCAACCTCTTCTGTTCTGCCTTGGCCTTTCCTGTTAGATCTTATCTCTCTGTTCTGCTTTTTGAGTCTAGTCTTTTATGAGAGAATAGGAAAAAAACCACTTCCTCTGGATTGTGATCATTCTTTTTCTTTTTTTTGTGGGGGGTGGTGAGGGTGGGTTGTGGTCATTCTTACCTGCCATATCCTTTTATTTTTCTTCATTTTGTACAGTTAAGACCTTTGACCATTTTATCTGCTTTATTCAATCTGCAGAATTTGATTTTCTTAAAGCGGTGCCGTGGCATCCAGAACAATACACAACGCTTGTGTAGGATGGATAGGAACTTTGCTCCGTGAAACCCTGCACTGCACTGTTGTTATTTGTACTGCTTTTCTCATGTACATAGAAACCCTTCTGAGAGGATTTGAGAGTCTTGTAGATATATGTAAATCATTGTATTTGCTCTCATTTTGGCACAAAACAGTTACTGAATTTACAGGTGGTTCATGGCCCTGGGATTTTTTTTTCCCCCTGCTTAGCGAGTTGATTCTTAAGTCTGCCCTATTTTGTTGCTTTATTCAGTATGACTGTAGAAAATCTAAGTGCAAGTGTACATTTGCCATTAGGATGTTTTCTTGTTAGCTTTGTGGCATTGTAGAGTGTTGATTTTCTGACGAATTAGGTTGGCTTTCATCCTTCCCTTCACTGTTGCCTCTTCCCGACCACTCCCCCAGTCACCTGTCTGGCCCGTTTGTGTTTTATTCATTCCTGTTTGTTACAACAATCTGTGTTATTGAAAGTGTTGGTGAGGCAGGGTCAGATACAGAGCACTGCTAGAGCATTTCTGATTGACATCAGCTCATTAATAATCATGTTTTGACTATGTGTATAGAACATGGTATGAATCATTTTTTACCTCTACATCAAAAACTGAAAAAATATATATTTTCTATATGTTTGACATCTTACTAGTAACTATAACATTGTTATAGATGATCTGATAATATTGGCACCTTTTTTTTTTTTTTAAGGTGGGGTTTCACTATGTTGGCCAGGTTGGTCTTGAACTCCTGTCCTCAGGTGATCCACCCACCTCAGCCTCCCAAAATGCTAGGATTACAGACGTGAGCCACCGCACCCAGCAATATTGGTACGTTTTAAAATTTTGAAACATATTTAGTACCTAGTTTCATTTTACCTATTTTAAAAATATTTTCAGGAAATCCCCTTACCCAGGATATATTGAACCTTTATCAGGAACCAGATGGAACAAGACGGCTGCTGAACTATTTGCTTGATAATTTGTCAGGTACTGCAAAAAGAAGTAAGTGGTTATTTGTTTAAACCTTTTTATTAGGAAGATATGTAAGAATATTGCTTAATTCTTTATTTTCTGTTCAACTAGTTTCAACAGAACAACCACCTCCAAGGTCTTGGATTATGTTACAAGAACCAGATAGAACAAGGCCAACTGGTTGGTAGTCTTTTATTTTTTTAACTGTTATTTTTGCTCAGTCTCTATAAGCCTAACAATATTGTCAGCATGCTTAGATAACAGGTAGCATTAAGATAGAATGTTTAAGGTTGATTTAGTTTGGGAGGTTATGAAAAAAAAGAATTATTGCTCACATGACCTCTATATATACTATGTTGTGCTATATAGAAAGTGTGCTGTAAAGCAGTGCTTCTCAAATGGGCAGTTTATCCCCCAGGGCACAATTGGCAATGTCTGGAGACTATTTTGGTGGTCATAACCGGAGAGAAGTGCTGCTGATTGCTAGAGGCTGGAGACCAGGGATGCTGCTCAACATCCTATATAGTACCTGGCACAGGCCCCCACAACAGACTTCACCTAAAATGTCAGTGGTGCCTCTCTTATTGAGAAAACCTTTCTGTAATGTATTGATGAAATTCACTTAAAATGAATACACTCAACTCTGTCTCTATTAGAAGTTTCCAAATCCTAGCATGTTCCAAATGGATTTGACACTACTGAGTTATAAGAGAGCTAAAACCCTTACTTAAGAGGAAAATTGAACTAATGACCTCTAATCTCCTTTTAACCTAAATTCTATGAAAATAGTTTGGTAACTTTAATGGCGTGTGTAACAAAATTTAATCTATGATACTGTTTTTATTTTACATAAAATAATAGTTGTGCTATAGAAGAAAATGAGACATGCCTATTAAGGAAACCGCGTATCCTACATTAACAATTGGTGGCATGGTAGAAGGAGTCGAGGAATGAGGAATGTTAGGCTCAGAGGCTGAAGGGCTCACAAGCTTAGACTTTTCACTTCCAAACCTTCTGTGCCTACCTCTGTAGCAGGTGTAGCACATTGTATTCTAACTTGTTCGCTTATCTGTCCTGCTTGCATTATCTGTGTTTATTTATCCCCTATGTGTGGCATATAGTAGCTTTTCTGTGGCTATAGATTGAATGAATACAGTCAAACTTAACATTTAAGTGAAAACCATTACTGAAATTCTATATATTTTTTTCTGCCACGTGTGTGAATAAGTAAAGTTATCTTTCCTACAGCCTTGTTTTCTGTCATGTGCTATAATGTTCTTTGTGATAAATATGCGACCCGGCAGTTATACGGCTACTGTCCATCATGGGCACTAAACTGGGACTACAGGAAAAAGGCCATTATTCAAGAAATCTTGAGCTGCAATGCTGATATCGTAAGTCTTCAGGTAAGTCAGACAGAAGAGAGTTGACCTAACATTGATAAAGCAAGGAGCAAACTAGGAATACATTACACAGATACATTTGAAGTTTCAGCTCTGGTACTTCTTAAAGCACTGTTTTTTTTTTTTTTTTTAATGTTATTAGTGAATCCTGGGACTACTGTCTGCTTTGCTTTGCAGTACTGTGTTGCAAAATAAGCAATGAGTTAAGTTGGGTTTTATACATTTGCTATGACTGCTAAATACTCACCTTCCTCCTCCCTCCAATGTCCCTGCACACTATTTTTTAATTGGGTGGCAAAGGTACTGAAATTCTGGCATGGTCAAGCTATAACTTTGTATTCCTGACCATGTTATTAGAACAATTAAGGCACAGTGTAAAAAGGACTGACCTGGCACATAATCATTTTGGGTTCTCAGTCCAGCTCTCATAGTCACTTGCATAATCTTGAACATGTTACTTTCTCCACAAGGGTCTGAAGTTACGATTTACAAAGTTCCTTCCATCTCTGATTCTCAGTCCACATCAATTCTAAAACATAAGGAAATACACATGCATAGAAGTATGTGTCTTTCCATTCATTGTTCCTAAACAACAATGAATTGCCCTTGGCAACTGGTACCTGTAAAACGGCGTAGGTGTTCCAGTTGGTTTCAGATAAATAGCATTGAAAAGCTGTTACCCTTTTTTTTTTTGGGGGGGGGTGTGGGTTGTGGGAGACAGGGCCTTGGTCTGTCCTCCAGGCTGGAGTGCAGTGTTGCTATCTCAGCTCACTACAATCCTCGCCTCCTGGGTTCAAGCGATTCTTAACCTTCCTAGTAGCTGGGATTACAGGCATGCACCATGCCCAGCTAATTTTTGTATTTTTAGTAGAGACAGGTTTTGCTATGTTGGCCAGGCTTGGTCTGAAACTCCTGGCCTCAAGTGATCCATCCGCCTCTGCCTCCCAAAGTGGTGGGATTATAGACATGAGCCACCATGCCCGGTTTGAAAAGATGTTACATTCTTATCTGCAGACTAGGCCTTTGAAATTATTTCAAGCTCTCAGACTATACATAAAAGTCAATATGCAGGACTAATTTTTGTCACATGAAATAACTGTTCTGTTTACAATTTTTTAGGAGGTTGAAACGGAACAGTATTACAGTTTTTTTCTGGTAGAACTGAAAGAACGTGGCTATAATGGATTCTTTAGTCCTAAGTCTAGAGCTAGGACAATGTCAGAACAAGAAAGGAAACATGTTGATGGCTGTGCAATATTCTTCAAGACAGAAAAGTAAGTCATCTTGTTTTTAAAAAAGAAAATTTTCTCAGTATTTGCAGGGTGGGGGCCAAGAATGAGGCACTATGTTATTACTCAAGAAAATAATGTTATTTGACCTAGGGGATTTCGTTTGTTTTTAATCATCAAAAATAACCTTGTTTTGGAGACATGCTTAAAGTACTGCTGTTTCTTCAGGTGTTTACTAGGGTTTAACTCCAATTGTTAATTGAATCACCAAGTAGTTAAAATTCCCTCTAGGATGGTGCAGGGATTCTTAAATCCATACTTTAAAAAAGAATTGTTTAAAAATTACAAGTTAGAATATTCCAACATAAAACCTAAACAAGATGACTACATTTTTTAAGTTGTAATTTTCAAATTGTTATTGTATCAGTAACAGACTTAGTGCAACTTTAAATGGATGTGGGAAGCTTGGTGAAGGATTTTCCATAATGTGATTTAAGTGCCATCATATCTATTAAGGAAGTTTGGGAAAACTACAGTTCCCACAAAGCTAACCTGTTGGTATTCCCAACTCTGTTTGTGTGTGTGTTTTGTTTTTGTTTTAGATTTACTTTGATTCAGAAACACACTGTTGAATTTAATCAGCTAGCCATGGCAAATTCTGAAGGGTCTGAAGCTATGCTGAACAGAGTCATGACAAAAGATAACATTGGAGTTGCAGTACTGCTAGAACTTCGAAAGGAATTGATTGAAATGTCATGTGAGTGGCCCTTTCACTTCCTGTAAAATTGACCACCAAAATTTAATAGCTCTGACTAGACATCTTCAAAAGAATAGAAAACAGAAATTTCATTGTGTATTAATGGTCTTGTCTAACACCTGAAGAAACTCAGTGAGAATTTTTGTCTTTTCTAAAATATATCTCTTTTTCTCTGCCACAAAGCTTAAGATGAGAAAGCATTGGCCCGTTAAAGTATTACAAACCTTGAAAAGCATTAAGAAACTTTCTTTTTTCTCTTAAGAATTTTTTATGTAAAAGAAATGTTGAAGTAAATATTAAAGTAACTGCTTAGGGGTAAGAACCCTCTACACTTTTATAATTTTTTGGCAGCAAGGATATTTCTGTAATCTAACTTCTTTTCCTGATCTATTTAAAATAATTGTTTTCAAGGTCTTGAGTTTTCGATAAATGGATCACTTCAAATTGAAAGTATATTTAAGTGACCATTATGCCAAGAGCTGAAACTTTGTCACTTGAGCAGTTGGAATAGGGATATTTAAGGTGAAGTATAGAAAAAATGGAAATAGGACTTAAGAGTTGTCTTAAATATAAGAAAGAAGGTTTAGATTTAATTTTATGAGGCTTGATTTAGGACATCCAAACTAAGACCAAAAGTTTGAAGGAGACAGAATTTTAAAACTCAAACTGTCCCAAATAGATGGGGCTATTTTTGTACAAGTAGTGAATGCCCTGTGCTGGAAGCATCAACCCAGTTTTAGATGTGTATTTCTTGGGTTTGTTGTGGGTCACATTTAGTCATCAGGTAGGAAATTTAGGTGACTTTTCTATTCTGGGACTCAGAGATTATTTGCATTCAGACACTGTTAAGAATATATGGGCTGATGGGCGGGTTTTGTCTGTTTCTTTGTTTTGTTTTTATCTAATATAGCTGGAAAGCCACATCTTGGAACAGAAAAACAACTTATTCTTGTGGCTAATGCTCACATGCATTGGGACCCTGAATACTCTGATGTGAAGTTGGTGCAAACTATGATGTTCCTCTCAGAAGTGAAGAACATTATTGATAAAGCCTCTCGTAACCTCAAATCCAGTGTATTGGGAGAATTTGGAACTATTCCACTTGTGTTATGTGCAGATCTTAATTCTTTGCCAGATTCTGGTAAGAAAATAATGTGTTTTATGTAGAATACTTTTGACATAAAATGATTTAGTAATGTGTTGTTTCTGATCATTCCAAATTAAGTCCAAATAAAAATTCCCTTTGTAATGGCAGCTATGAGCAGGTTCGTAATGTTGTGTCAGGGTAAAGGGGGCTGTTTTGAAGATTAAACGGCATTATGGAACCCTGAAGAGAAGGATGTAATCATCTTGAATAAACACATAGGCAATAACTTGAAATGACTCTTTAAAGAACATATTTTATTATCCCCAAGTCAGAGATAATTATGGTTATTAAGACAGTCTCTTTGAGATTCCAGCATGTGGTAATATAATCACATTTTAAATTTGAGTTAAAATTATAGAATCTCAATTTTGCATGTATTTGTAACTTGATTAGAAAAATATACCTCAGGTGGAAATTGAGCTCCTTTATTTACACACCTAACAGTCAAGTGATTATTATTATTATTATTATTATTTATTATTATTTTTTTTAAAGACGAAATCTTGCTCTGTGGCCAGGTACCAGGCTGGAGGGCAGTGGTGCAATCTCAGCACACTGCAGCCTCCACCTCCTGGGTCCAAGCAATTCTACTGCCTCTGCCTCCTGAGTAGCTGGGACTACAGGCGTGGGCTACCACGCCCAGCTGATTTTTGTATTTTAGTAGAGATGGGGTTTCACTATGTTGGTCAGGATGATCTTGATTTCGTGACCTTGTGATCTGCCCGTCTTAGCCTCCCAAAGTGCTGGAATTACAGGTGTGAGCCACCATGCCTGGCCAGTCAAGTGATTTTAACAAAGAGCAAGGATCTTGATTTTTATTAAAATGTAGAATACAGAAAGCCCGATCTGGAATGCTTTCCATAGATAGTATACAATAAACAATAGCTCTTGTAATAACAAACTATTTTTTCCTTTTTGTGTTTCAACTCATTCATACTCTTATACAAGCAGGAATACTTTTCCTTGGACTTGAATGTATACATGAACACACAAACGCATGCACATTTGGAAGCACACGTTGACATCACAATAGATAGAACCATTAGGAAGAAAGAACCTGGCCGCATGCTGTGGCTCATGCCTACTAATCCCAACACTTTGGGAAGCTGAGGCGGGCAGATCACTTGAGGCCAAGAGTTCAAGACCAGCTTGGCCAACATGGTTAAACCATGTCTCTACTGAAAATACAAAAATTAGTCAGATGTGGTGGTGCACACCTGTAATCCCGGCTACTTTGGAGGGTGAGGCACAAGAATGACTTGAACTCTGGAGGCAGAAGTTGCAGTGAGCCAAGATTGCGCTACTGCACTCCAACCTGGTTGACAAAGTGAGGCTATCTCAAAAAGAAGAAGAAGAAAGAAAGAAAGAAAGAAAAGAAACTGAGTTAAAATTTGATTTCAGGGAAAATAAAGCTATCTAAAATCTTCTGTAATTCTTTATTCCAGCTCATCAAGTTGTCTGGTTATTACTACTACCGAAGCAGTTGACTAATAGTCTCTGGCAGTTTGTCTACATGCTTTCTGCTTTCTGTGTAGCTACAAAGTATCTGAGGAATAAAGAGAAAATCTAGTCAGACGTTAACATCCAAGACCCATTTCAGCATTGTGAAATACAGTATTATAATAGCAGGCAGGTCAGAAAATGTCCAGCCTTGCTAATTGGTGAAAAAAATGCAAATTAAAATATATTTGTAGAGCCCATCTTGTGCTTAGTAAATTGGGAAAATACTTCACTAGGGATCGGTAAGTTTGCTCTGTAACTAGCTGGTGATATTCTCTTCCATAGTTGGCAGTATTATAAAGTGGCACATTCAGTCCTAATCTTGGGATTTTATACCAAGTAAATAATTGAGCATAAGCAGAAATCTACACACTAAGATGTTGATTGTGGTATTATCTTTAATTCTTTTTAAAAAGTGGAAACTACCCTGCATTTTACAAAATTAGTAGTAAATATTATCCACCAGCCCAATTGCATTGTGCAGCCATTAAAGAATGATATTTGGGAAGACACATGTTTATAAAGCAAAGTGTAAACTGTTCAATATTCTGTGATTACAATTGTGTAAAAATAGATTTGGACAAGTCCTGACAAATATAAAAAGGAATGTTTTGGAATGTGGGAATACGTGTGGTTTAAAACTTTTTACTATTACATGATCTTTTAAAATTACTTTTTGTTTATATTATATTTGACAATAAAAATTTTGTCTTCATTGTAGGTGTTGTAGAATATTTGAGCACGGGTGGAGTAGAAACAAATCACAAAGACTTTAAGGAGCTGAGGTATAATGAAAGTCTCACAAACTTCAGCTGTCATGGGAAGAATGGAACCACCAATGGAAGGATCACTCATGGTTTCAAGTTAAAGAGTGCCTATGAGAGTGGTCTGATGCCTTACACGAATTACACATTTGATTTCAAGGTGTGTCTTGAGACTGATAAGTTTTTCAAACCTCTATTTTACTGGCAAGTTTTCTGATGCATTATGATGTCTTTAAAAATGTGGATGTGTGTTCAGACTGGAATGAAGCAGTCTTGGATTCACTGACAACAATATTCTTTGTTTTATGTTTGAGACTAGGTCTCACTTGGTCAGCCAGGCCAGAGTGCAGTGGCACAGTCACGGCTCACGGCAGCTTCAACCATGCAGGCTGAAATGATCCTGTCACCTCGGCCTCCCTAGTAGCTGGGACTACAGGCGCACACCACCACGCCTGGCTAATTCATGTATTTTTTGTAGAGATGGAGTCTCGCTATGCCCAGGTTGGTCTTGAGCTCCTGGCCTTAAATGATTCTTCCACCTCAGCCTCCCAAAGTTCTGAGATTACAGGCGTGAACCACTGTACTCGGCCAGTAATATTTTTTTATTACTCTTCTTTAGAATTTCATGTGATTAGTGTCACAACCTTACTTTTTATATATTTATTCTAATATTTTCCAGGATAAGAAGTTAGATGAAATCTGTAAAATTCCTAAGCTGACTTTCCACCTTTTGGTGACAATTATGTTTCTTGTATTCTCATTATTAACAGCTAGATATGCTGAACCATGCTATCTAATTTGGGTGGCAGTTGGGGTAAGGTGTTCCTTCTCTTACATTTTAATTTAACTGAAACTAAATTATTTTGAATGTCAAAATGTGGTTATTAGCTATTTTTAAATGTTTCTAAGATACATCTTTTTTTGCCCCCAGAGACAGAGTCTTGCTCTGTTGCTCAGCCTGGAGTTCAGTGGTGCAATTTTGGCTCACTGCAACCTCCCCCTCCCAGATTCAAGTGATTTCTCATGCCTCAGCCTCCTGAGTTGCTGGGATTACATGTGCGCGCCACCACACCCAGCTGATTTTTGTATTTTTAGTAGAGACAGAGTTTCACCATGTTAGCCAGGCTGGTGTCGAACTTCTGGCCTCAAGTGATTTACCCATCTTGGCCTCCCAAAGTGCTGGGATTACAGGCATGAGCCACTGCACCTTGCCGGATTCTCATCATTTTTTTAATTTAGGGCTATGTCACTTTCTTGTCTTTATCCTTTTTTTTTTGGCAGGAGTCAGGGGCTTCTCCATTGTTCCTATTGATAGGTTTAACTGTCTTTTTTTAAAAAAAGAGAAAAAGAGATGTTGTTTCAGCCTGTCATCCAGGTTGAGGTACAGTGATATGATCATACACACTGCAGCCTTGAACTGGGCTGAGGCAATCCTGCCTCAGCCTCCCCACTAACTAGAACTACAGGTGTGCGCCACCATGCCCAGCTAGTTTTTTTTTTTTTTTTTTTTTTTTTTTTGGTAACTTTGGTTTTTTTTAAAGACAGGGTCTTGCTATATTGTCCAGCCTGATGTTGAACCCCTGGCCTTAAGCATTCCTCCTGCCTTAGCCTCCCAAAGTGCTGGGATTATAGGCAGGAGCTACTGCATCTGGCTCAGCTGCCCTTTTAAACTACTTTTTGCATTTCTGCTTTCTTAACTCCTAGCTTTCTATTTCTAAGCTGCTGGCAAAGTAATAATTTAGCTTAGCTTGTCAGAGTGTAAATAAGAGTTTAGATAGTATCTCTGGAGCTCTTACACTTTAGAGTATAGAAAGTAAAGCCCCTGTTTATCCTCAAGTGCCCCTTCCTTTCAAATTCTTTGTTTTTTTTTTTTTTTTGTTTGTTTTGTTTGTTTGTTTGTTTGTTTTTTGTGAGACGGAGTTTCGCTCTTGTTACCCAGGCTGGAGTGCAATGGCGCAATCTCGGCTCACCGCAACCTCCGCCTCCTGGGTTCAGGCAGTTCTCCTGTCTCAGCCTCCTGAGTAGCTGGGATTATAGGCATGCGCCACCATGCCCAGCTGATTTTTTATATTTTTAGTAGAGACGGGGTTTCACCATGTTGACCAGGATGGTCTCGATCTCTTGACCTCGTGATCCACCCGCCTCCGCCTCCCAAAGTGCTGGGATTGCAGGCGTGAGCCACCGCGACCGGCCCTTTCAAATTCTTAAGGAGACATTGAAGAGAAGGCATGGGTGATAGCCAAAGGGTGGGAAAGCTTAGGGTTTTTTTCTCTTTATGTTGCTGATGGAGGCAGGAAGAAGACACTTGAATGTGCTTCAGAGTGCATTTGGCCAAGAGCACGTAGAGGAGAGGAGCAGAACCATCAGATGGGAACAGTTTGTTAGATGCCATGGTGGGGTGCTGCTGAGAGAGAAGGGGGCAGGTAGAGACAGTTCTGCCCTCGTGCAGCTGAGCTGTGATGAGAGAGACAAGTCTCAACCACACAGATGAGCTAATGACACCTTGAGATGGCCATTAGCAAGGGAAGTGAATCAATGGTGGGAAGTAGTGAGTAGGTGGGAGCAGGATCCAGGAAGGTCTTTGGAAAGCAGTTGAACCTGACATTGAAAGATTAAGGAATTGACCTCATAACAAGTGTTACAAGCAGAGTGGAGAGTGACAGAGAGAGAGAGAGAGAGAGAGAGAGAGAGAGAGAGTGTGTGTGTGTGTGTGTGTGTGTGTGTGTGTGTGTGAAGGTCCTGAGGCAGGAAAGAGCTTGGTACCTATAGGTTCCCCTCCCATCCTAACTCCTTTCTCACTCCAAAGGCTGGTGTGGCAGCAGGGAAAGTGGTGCAAATTAGGTTAGGAAAGAGAAGCAGAGGCTGCATCCTGAAGGGTCTTAGGTCTTGTTAAAGATGCAGATAGGAAGAATGCTTCATTCTGCTGGATTTGACATTTTGTGGGAGGAACCATTTGGTGTATGTAGTACAGATCTCATCCTACAAGCTGGTAAGTTTCACTTGTTTAGTTCTGTTCACCAAACATGACTGTAAAGACATGTCTTAAAAGCACTCAGGATTTCCGTGTTGTCTTATGTGGTGCTTATATCTTTCTTTCTGTTGTTTTTCAGGGTATAATCGACTACATTTTCTATTCTAAACCTCAGCTGAACACCTTAGGCATCCTGGGTCCTCTGGACCACCACTGGCTGGTTGAGAATAACATCAGTGGCTGCCCACACCCCCTCATCCCCTCTGACCACTTCTCACTTTTTGCACAACTGGAGCTCTTACTGCCTTTCCTGCCCCAAGTCAATGGCATCCACCTTCCTGGCAGGAGGTAGTCAAGCACCTTCGGAGGACAGCCTCGATTCACTTGTAAACTTGTGAAAATCTGAACATAAGGGAGTGAGGTATGGCCACTGAGGATTTTTGTTTTGAATTTCCAATCTGATTATTTGATAAGGATATAGTATGAAAGCCAGGTGCTAGCAACAGACAAATTCTGAGCCCAGTATGCTTTATACTGCTAGACAGGGATTGGTGTGTTTGCACCTATCTTTAATTTGTTATAAGAAATTTTCCTATTTCTTCTATCCAATATAATATTTTCATGCCTTGAAATAGGAAAATGTTTGAAGAGCTTATTCTCTTTGCACAGAAATCTGTAGCACTACTTTTTTGAGGCCAGTAGTAACATCCAGAGACCATTCTTCCATACTTTACTCCCTCCTTTTTCAGACTTGTTTGTAAAATATAGAATTTGAATTTAGCCTTTATGATTGTATATGATCCACAGAAGACCTGATTTATGAAATTTTGTACTAAAAAAATCATTTGGAAATGATTGTATTGTAAACTAAGGCTAAATTTTTTTTTAACCTGTTTCATGTGTTATAAATGCCAGCTTGTAAAAGAAGCTGCAACAGACTTTCTCTGCTCATGATTTGCACTCTGAGGGTTTTGTTAGCCCTTTTGTACTACTTTATTTTTAAATTGAGAACATGGTTCTTTAAATATAAATCTGCTTAAACCTTAGGATGTTTTCAGACCGGAGGCAACTTATTCATGAATTTTTACGAAAACTATCTACCAGGACAGATAAGCTGAACAGTGATGATCTGTAGGCATTTATGGACTGAATGTAATGGTTGATATATGTACATTCTGATATTTTTAAATCTTTAACTTTTTTAAGTTAAAAAACTACAGCTGCTAAGGTACAGCTTAACTCCTTTTTGAGACACTTCCTGTCCTATCTCCACTGTGCCTGCCTAAATTTGTTCTCATCAAGCACTGCCTGTGCATGCAGAGAAAATCTGTGCATCCTCTTTTATATTTTTAAAATACTGTTTAACATTTGTGAGAATTTTATGAAAATGCTTTTGTATGAGCTGTGGCTTTTTTTCCATTGCGAAGCATAAAATAATCACATTTTGGAACATGTTTATGGGGTGGGTCCCTGGATCTTTGCTCACCAGATCCAAGCACTGCTTCTCGGTGTCATTGCAGCGTACTGCTTGTCACCCAGAATACTACTATCATGTGAATTCTTTTTGTTGTCCGTGTATTCCTTAGTCTTTTTTTTTAATCATTCCTTATTTAAGAAGAAGCAATTTTCCATTTATGAAGCAGTATAAATTAGATGCATTTTCAAAACAGGTCCCTAAGACAATTGTTCAGATCATTTTTAAAATGACTAAGTCATTTTAGTATGTCAACCAAGATAAAACTTACATCACACCCTCCATTTTGCCTGTAGTGCCATTAGTAGAATAGAAATGAAAACCAGCTTTAACTTTGCAAAGTGAACGTGTACATGGTCTGTTCTCATTTATTCATTCTTCTGTGAAAAGTCAAATGAATTCAGAGGGAGCTTGGTCAAACTGCTTTTGTTTCAACTGCAGGCAGGGGAGTAAAAGGACAGCATGTGAGCATTAGGAAAAAAAATGTTGACTGTTATTAACAATTTTTATACAGAGTGAGTCATTTTGGCTGACTTAAAATTTTATGAAAAATGTTCAGCACTTAAATGTGCTTATTCTGTTTTTAAGAGAAAATAAAATTACATACTGTTTAAATAAATGATTTTTTTTTTTTTTTCCTTTTAGAAAATTCTCCAAAGAGTTTTGATCTTGAATCTTTGTCTTGGACCTGTTTTTTCCTTTGAGGGTTTTTGTTGTTTTTTTAAGATTTCGTTGGGATGTTTTGGTTTTGTTTTTTGCTTTTTGTTTAAGTTGTGCTGACACCAAACACGTCCAGTTTATAATCAGTACATTGGAAAGCTGGTATTGATGTAAAACCAGTACATAACTTTTTATGGGGTTTTTGTTCTTGGTGTTTTTTTTTTTTTTTTTGTAAAGTGTGAATTAAAGGTATGTTTACTCATTTTTCCTAAGCACTGTGTTGGTAATATGCATCATGACAATTTCCAGTGAAGGTGAGCTGGAGCTGGTTGGACTGAGACTGAGGAAGCAGCCTTTCCTACGATCTGCATTATGTAATCACAGGTCCAGAGAGCTTTATGGAAGGGGGAGGGGAGGAGCACTTACTCATTTTGTATTTGTTAATGGAGGATGTAATCTTTTCGTAGATGCTGGAACTAGAGTGCACTTGTTAGATGCTAAAGGTTTGAGCTTTACACAAAATGTATTCATCTGTATTTGTTATTGTCTATAATATATTTGAATTTGGGGCAGCATATTAAGATATAATGGCCTGTTATGTCTTGAAAATACTTGTTTTGCCTCTTCCAGGCATACTGCATTATGTGATCAGTTTGAACAGCTTCTCCACCTTAATTTGGACACTGATAAATTGAACCAAGAGTGTAGATTTACAATTTAACCTTGAAAAGAGGAAGAAATATTTGGGGTCTATAGGGAATAAACAGTCGCACCAAAATAGACTATGATGCTTTTCTTAAGCAAGGTTTCATGTTTTAGATATTTTCTGTGTGTTAAATAATTTCCAATAATCTATACTTTCTAAAATGCAATAAAAACTAGTATGTTTTCGCAGTGTAGATTTTTTTTTCCAAAAATTCTGTAACAAATATATTTAATGTGTTGCCATAATGTAATTTCAGTGTTTTTGCTGGATAAATCCATTTTAGAAATGTTTTACAAAAAGTTTGAGGCATGTTTTCTGTTTTAAAGATCAGGTGTTTGGAGGCATTCAAGTCCTTGTTGCAAATCTCTTGAAGTACAGCTTTACCATATTCGTGGTAATTATTTATACCTTGAGAATTTAAATATTGTTATCAAGTTAATTTATGGCATAATTTAAGCTAAAGTTGTAGAAATGAAGTGTCGAGTGCAACTTTAATAGTCCCAAAGATAGGCAAAGAACATCTCCAAAAATGTGTGTGTGTTTTTTTCTTTTGATTTAGTGACAACTAGGAAAACTTACTTGGGGTTATTAGCACTTTCAAACTTAGGGACATTATTAATTTGGATGGAATGCACTTCTAAATGTTTAAAATTTCAAAGGTCTTCTGAGATTCAGGTTCTCAATAATAACATTGAAGTTTTAGAGTTTCACTCTGTACAATTTAAATTTATGGAACCAGTTTCCATAGTGACTTCTAAGGTTTTGGGCTCATATATAAGGACAAAAGTCAACCTAGGCAAAACAGTTAACAAATGTTGCAGATAATTCCAAGAACACCTTTAGCAGATGTTTCTTCACCATTCATAAACAGTATTTTAAGATGTTCACTTTGCTTTTCTTTTTGGTTACATAAATTTTAATAACTGGTATGTTGAAGTAGTGTCTAAAGGTATCTAGTCTTTATTCACAGTACATTATATTGTGTAATGCACTGGACTAACTCTTGTTTACCATTCATGTAACAAAACCCAGCACATTATCTGCACTATAAGCTCAAAGAATGTCACATTTGCCCAGGCAGCTCTTTGATAAGGGTGATGGGAAACTGAATATATATCATATGGACTGGTGGTAACAAGGGCTTTTACTGTTATTTTCAGTGGAACCTTCTTGGTCAAATTGTAACTAGCTAGTATTATATTTATATACAGGGTCTTTTTTCTTTACCGATGTATTTTCCTACTCATAGCCAACCAATAAATTCAATATCTGTTTCAAATATTTTAGAAGTGTAATTTATATAGCTGTAGTACTGAGGTTTGAGGAAAAATAAATGTTAATCAGCAAGACCACGTGTTTAAAATTCTGAATCATCTGGGACAGGGTTGTAACTCACCCTTCCAAAGGGAAGAGTGCAGGGGAACAGGGCCATGATATGGGGAAATGGTGTAAACAAATGTATTTCTTTATTGGCTGTGTTATTCTGTATAACACTCATTTCTTTGCCAAAGTTCAATTTTATATTTAGGCAACTGATGGTCCTTTTGCATTTAGGATTTTCATTGTTGTTACCATATACCTCATAATATAAGAAATGGGCTCATGTGTCTTCCGTCTTTTGGAAGGAGGTTGACATATTTTAAATAAATGCTTTTAAATACTGTAGTAAACATTGTGTTGGGGTTATAATAATTCATTAAATGTTTTGTTGCATGTATTTTGTTGTATATGTAAACTTTAAAAACGCTTGACTTCCTGAGTCTTCAGATGTCACCTTACAATTGAGAAAACAACATGAGTTCCTTTACTTTTAGAAACTACTTCCACAAGGTAAATTTTTATGTAGATGTGGGAAAAATCATTTAAAATCTGGAGAGTTTAGATTAAATGAATATTTGCTTTGATCTCCAATTTTTAAAGTAGGCATGTTCTACTTAATTCTTAGTACAGTGATGCACGTTAGGGGGATATGTTCTGAGAAATGCATCCTTAGGTGATTTTGCCATTGTTTGAACATCAGAGTGTATTTACACAAACATGGGTGGTGTAGCCACATCTAGGCTATGTGGCTTAGCCTATTGCTTCTGTGCTAGAAACCTGTACAGCATGTTACTGTACTGAATACTGTAGGCAGTTGTAAGACAGTGGTAAATATTTGTGTATCTAAACATGGAAAAAAGTAAAAATACAGTATAAAAAAATGGTATGTCTGAGACTGGGGACAGTGCCTCATGCCTGTAATCTCTCATTTTGGGAGACCGAGGTGGGCAGATCACTTGAGGCCAGGAGTTCATGACCAGACTGGGCAACATGGCGAAACCCCGTCTCTATAACAAATACAAAAATTAGCTGAGTATGGTGACACACACCAGTGGTTCCAGCTACTTAAGAGGCTGAGGTGGGAGAATTGCTTGAGCCCAGCAGGTGGAGGTATCAGTGAGGAGATTGCGCCACTACATTCCAGCCTTGGCTACAAAGTGAGACTGTCTCAAAAAAAAAAAAAAAAGTATATCTGAATAGGCAGTTCTATTATATCTTATGGCCTATTCTCATATATGTGGTCCATCTTTGATTAAAATATCATGTACAATGTATGATGGTATGTAGTTTTAACTTATAATAAGTTTTGTTCCTCATATAATTGTCAAAAAATAAGTATAAAAGAGTTAATAGGTTGAGTGCAGTGGCCCATGCCTGTAATCCCAGCTGAGGTGAGCAGATCACTTGAGCCCAGGGGTTCAAGACCAGCCTGGGCTATATGGCAAAACCTCACCTCTAAAAAAATACAAAAATTAGCCAGGCATGGTGGCACATGCCTATCGTTCCAGCCACTCAGGAGGCTGAGATGGGAGGATCACTTGGGCCTGGGAGGCTAAGGTTGGAGTGAGCTGAAATTGCACCACTGTACTCCAGCCTAGGTGACGGAGCAAGATCCTGTCTTAACCCAAAAAAGTTACTGAAGTATGTGCCATGTTAGTTTGTAAATACAGTTAATGTTCCTTAAAGGAACAATTACCTAAAGAAACATGAATTGAAATATATTTAGAATAAAGTGTTTAGGTTTTAGATAACATATATACCAAGAGTTCCCTTTTTAGACTGTTATTTAGGTATTCAAATTGATTTTACAGTAAGCTTTCACAAGTATAATTTTAACATAATGAGTGGTTTTATATTAGAAGAAACTTGTAGAAGATAGTTTGCTACTAGAGTGTTAAGGAGAATTTGAGAAATATTTTTGTAAGTAAATTTCCCTTGAATAATATTTTAAATAGATTAGTTCTAACGAACTAGTCTATAGCTAGGGGTTGGGAGGACTGCTGGATTGCAAAGTAGTTTGAAGACCAGTTTTTAACAGTTTCAGCACATTTAACCTTTTTAATCAAATAAATAAGGAGATGTCAGTTTTCTCAGTTTATTTGAATCACAAACTTTAAATCACTCTACCCAAAAGCTATTAAATGAGTTTGGGCCTGTTATAAGAAACTTTGCTTGCTCTGTCAGTACAACCTGAGGCAGGCTTCAAGAGCTTTAATTGCTGGATACCTTCCAGCTTACCAGCAAAGTGAATCTGAGCTGCTGGGCTTATAGAGCTACCCACTAGTAAGTTGCCTAAGTTTACTTAAAATTGAGAGATTTACAATTGTTGTACTCTGCGCTTAGATTGTAAACAGAGATTTGCAGGCATAATCCTTGACTTCCAGTTACTCGTTGACCATAAATCTAGTGCAGTGGGTGCTGAAGATGTAATAGGTGTGGAGGAAGAAACTCGTCCACTGGGAAGGTTGCTGTAGCAGGGCTGTGCAGGATACATGGAAAGAGTAAGACGAATACTTGGTGTCAGACTAGTTAGCTGGCCTCTGGTGTGGTCCAGTTGACAGCTAAGCTGAGGAGGGCTTGCAGAGCAGTAAGCCTAGAAAGGAAAGGGAATTTGAAATGTTTAGGAAAGGGAATTTGAAATGTTTAGGAAAGGGAAGTAATAACCTCAATTTCTGCCTCGTATGGATGAAAAGACAGATAAATGAGTTTTGTCCAGTCATTGTTTTATGTAAACCCTGACCCCAAATCTGTATCTGCCACCAAGGTCCCCATTTTTTCTTTACCCATCTGACAAAAGTATTTAGTCGAAGAATCTTGTTTCTCAAGCTGGATTTTACTTCATTCCCCATTTTCATTCATTCAGATTTTAGTCTGCAAGAGAAAGCCAGTGTGCCCTTACTAAACGGCTTAGTAATTCCAGAAAATGATAAAAGGTAGCATTTGATGCTACATTAATTCTTTTAGCCTATTTCCCTTTGGCTTTTTGTATTAATAAAATAAATGAAAAAGACTGCCTTTCTGAAATTGCTGGTAAGACCAAGCATTCAAAGATAGGTAAATAGAGCAACATATTTATCAATGAAGGGAGGGATCCAAGGATTCTCAGCTCTGTGAAGCTCCCCTCATGCAACAACTCTTCTTCAGTATGGTGGCTTCTAGCCATGTGTGGCTTTTGAGCATTTGAAATGTGACTGTTGTGACTGGTACTGTAGAAATCTATTTTTTGTTAAGCAAAAGTTGATTTTTATAGGATCACATTTAATTGTTGCATTGTGTTAGAGAACTGCTACATTGCTTGTTTGTATTCTCCATAAACACATTGCCAGATGATATCAAAGAATTCATTCTAACAGCATTTTACTAACCAAAGTAACATTATAATGTGTTTATTGAATGCTATGCAGACAGTTACTGTGCCTATGTTAAGTCCTAATTAGCAAAGTGAGACGTATGTTCATATTTTTCTAGTTTAAAAAATATAGGCAACTTATTAAATTTAAAATCAGTTCTGATACAGAACTGAGTGGAAATGCGGGGCTAATTCCAGCTACCATACTAGGTCTGTCACAAGCTAGCTGTATCACAAATTTCAGGACGAATGACAGCTGCAGTTTGCCTTACTACAGCAAAGAAAAAAAATCTGTTTTTGTGTAAAAAAAAATACAATTACATATTGAATTTAATGATTTCCCTTGATGGATAAAAATGAAATTAATCACTGAAATGTCCAACAGAAAGTAAGACAATTTGTAATAGGATTCAAGCATATAGATTTGGCCAGTTATGTTATAAAAGGGCTTACCTTCTTCCATGGGGAGGCGAAAAGGGGTATTCCCCCCACTTTATTTTTTTGAGACGTAGTCTTACTCTCACCCAGGCTGGAGTGCAGTGGCGCGATCTCGGCTGACTGCAGTCTCTGCCTCCTGGGTTCAAGCGATTCTCTGGCCTCAGCCTCCCGAGTAGCTGGGACTACAGGCGCGTGCCACCATGCCCGGCTAATTTTTTGTATTTTTAGTGGAGATGGTGTTTCACTGTGTTAGGATGGTTTTGATCTCCTGACCTTGTGATCCGCCCGCCTCAGCCTCCCAAAGTGCTGGGATTACAGGTGTGAGCCACTGCATCCAGAATTTTTTTTTTTAAAACCTTTGTGTAGGGATGTGATCTCTCTATGTT